CCTCCGCTTTTTATCTCAAACAAAACTAAGCACTGCAGAAAACTAGTGAAATCAGAAACCTCACGTGCTCCGCTGCACAGGCTCAGGCCTGCATAAATGCATGCAGATTACTCTTCAACAACAGGGTGTAATGACTAATGACATTATATATGATAACTTTTGTTTCTTATGGCCTTCGCATATTTTCCTTCCGTCTTCGATCCATTGTCTGGTGGGGCTCAAGTTTCCACCAGTCTGATTATTGTCTCACCTTCTCTCTCTCTCTCTCTCTCTCTCTCTCTCTCTCTCTCTCTCTCTCTCTCTCTCTCTCTCTCTCTCTCTCTCTCTCTCTCTCTCTCTCTCTCTCTCTCTCTCTCTCATTTACATTGGCGCTACCTCACCTCCGGCCTTAACCTAATTGCTAATGAGACACACAAACAAACCTAAAAATACAAACATTGAAACTTCTATTTAAATTTAAAATTCCAATCATCAGATTAACTAAATTATCATTAAAAAAATCTACTTTCCAATGTTAACAGTCGCGCTGATTTCTATATTGCTTTTACGGATTCATTAATAGTTATGCCGATATTTTAACTATTTAAACATATGTTTATTATATACAATGATGGTGTGCATTTACATATATTTTTATTGTTCATATTTCTCACTGCTCACTACACTGAAAACTCCAAAATAATAAGATTGATGGTTATAATTTTATATGGTAATCTATTATTATAGATTGAGTCCTGCTTTTTTAATGGGTTGAAGCATGGACTCTCAACGATGTTATTTTTTTAAACTCTATTTTAAATTCCCTGCTGATAGAAATTAAATCTCCCTCGTCATGTCAGTATGACTTTTAATTTCGTTGCACTAAACTTTAAAATTGTGATAAAAATTTAAGAATTATAATTTTATATTATAAAATTCACTGTGGCTTCAACAAGCAATTGCAAAGTGTAGCTTCTAAATGTGCTATTATCCTTGAGCCTCAGGGGGATTTTGACCCCCTAAAAAAAGTGAGGCAGATGGAGAAGGAGAGGGCTACAACTGAGTAGTCTTTGCTCCTTTTTGTTGATTCTGAGGAGTTTATTTTTGCTTATAAAATGTTAATTACATGGAATGTGAGAGGTCTTGGTTTAAGTGTTAAAAGATTTGGCATTAAAGATTTTTGTATGCTAAACAAATTTGAGATTATTTGTTTACAAGAGACAAAACTGAGCAATGTTGATGATAGGATTTTAAAAAGTTTGGGAGGAAATATTTTTGATTGGGTTTTTTTGCCCGCTAATGGAACCTCAGGAGGTATTATGATTGGTTGGAACAATAGTAAATGGAAAAAAATTCAAGAGTTAATGGGAGAATATGTTTTGACTGTTATGTTACAAAACAAGAGAAATGGCATTGTTTGGAATATTTCATCTGTTTATGGTCCCCATTGCAATGATGAGAGAAGGTTATTTTGGCAGGAACTTAAATCTGTTAAAAACAGATTTACAGGTCCTTGGGTTGTTGTGGGTGATTTTAATGTGACTTTTAATGCTGATGAAAGAAGAGGTAAACATAATCATAGAAAGGAGATGGAAGAATTCCGTGAAGTGATTAATGATCTTGAGTTAATTGACAGTCCTTTACATGGGAGAAAATTTACTTGGTCAAATAAAAGAAGCCAAATAGAGTATACAAACTCACAATTAACAAAAAGATGAAGGTGATTTTCCTCCTCCTTGGAACAAAAACAACACAGCACATCCATGTGAATACCTTTCTTTACTAAATTCTTTTTCGTATTTAAACTACTTCTCAAAGCCAACCAGACCAGAAATTTCACTTTTAGAGGAACAGAAAGCTTCCAAAGATTTAAGCAGTCATACCTTGAGCCTCCATCAATAAGAAAATGATAATATGTTTTAACAGTAAACTTGTCTTTTGCTTCCCAAATCCACTTTCTCTTATCCTCCCTGTGAACAAAATTAATAAGCATAATACTGTTCAACATATCATAATATTGAAAGACCAGATTTCCTGTCAGCTGTTTTTGAAATTTAATATCCCAAATCCAATCATTATTTAATTTTTTCCTCAAACTGGTAATAGTAGCATAAGGGAATGATGCAATGTTATAAAGAGAAGGAAACATAGAAGCCAGAGTATTTGCACCTGTCCATTTATCAAGCCAATAAAGAGTATTATGTCCATTCCCCACATCTATACTAGTACTGCATAAAAAGCTATCAACATTAATAAAAATATTCCTCCAGAAATGAGATAGGGATCTTTTGTCAGAACAAAAATAATCTGACCAGTTCTTATTCTCAAAATACTTATAGAAACTTATTTTTTTCCAGAGATCTATCTTATCATCAAACCATTTCCAAATCCATTTTCCCAACAAAGCTTTATTCATAGTTCTCAAATTTATAATACCCAAGCCACCTAGCTTTTTGGGTCTGCAAATCTCTTCCCATTTAACCAAATTAGATGAATTTTTGTGTTCCAAAGACCCAGTCCATAAAAATCTTCGCCTCATCATATCTATTTTATCAATAAGCCACCCTGGAAATAAGAAAAAAGACATCCAAAAAATTGGCATAGAGGAAAGAACTGCATTAACAAGCACTAATCTTCCTCCCCTTGATAAAGACTTTCCTTTCCATAAGGACAATCTTCTTTCAAACTTATCAATAATAGGAGACCAATCCTCTTTTTTTAATTTTCCAGGTCTCAAAGGAACCCCAAGATAAGTGATAGGAAAACTACCACTTTTACAATTTAACATGCCAGCCAGATTATGTTGCAAGATCTCATTATCTTCAAGAGCAATGAGCAAACTCTTGTTAAAGTTTATTTTTAATCCAGATGCTAATTCAAAACAGTATAAGATCAGTTTCAAAACTGTCAGCTGCTCTCTTTTGTTTTTACAGAAAACTAAAGTATCTGGATTAAAAATAAACTTTAACAAGAGTTTGCTCATTGCTCTTGAAGATAATGAGATCTTGCAACATAATCTGGCTGGCATGTTAAATTGTAAAAGTGGTAGTTTTCCTATCACTTATCTTGGGGTTCCTTTGAGACCTGGAAAATTAAAAAAAGAGGATTGGTCTCCTATTATTGATAAGTTTGAAAGAAGATTGTCCTTATGGAAAGGAAAGTCTTTATCAAGGGGAGGAAGATTAGTGCTTGTTAATGCAGTTCTTTCCTCTATGCCAATTTTTTGGATGTCTTTTTTCTTATTTCCAGGGTGGCTTATTGATAAAATAGATATGATGAGGCGAAGATTTTTATGGACTGGGTCTTTGGAACACAAAAATTCATCTAATTTGGTTAAATGGGAAGAGATTTGCAGACCCAAAAAGCTAGGTGGCTTGGGTATTATAAATTTGAGAACTATGAATAAAGCTTTGTTGGGAAAATGGATTTGGAAATGGTTTGATGATAAGATAGATCTCTGGAAAAAAATAAGTTTCTATAAGTATTTTGAGAATAAGAACTGGTCAGATTATTTTTGTTCTGACAAAAAATCCCTATCTCATTTCTGGAGGGTTATTTTTATTAATGTTGATAGCTTTTTATGCAGTACTAGTATAGATGTGGGGAATGGACATAATACTCTTTATTGGCTTGATAAATGGACAGGTGCAAATACTCTGGCTTCTATGTTTCCTTCTCTTTATAACATTGCATCATTCCCTTATGCTACTATTACCAGTTTGAGGAAAAAATTAAATAATGATTGGATTTGGGATATTAAATTTCAAAAACAGCTGACAGGAAATCTGGTCTTTCAATATTATGATATGTTGAACAGTATTATGCTTATTAATTTTGTTCACAGGGAGGATAAGAGAAAGTGGATTTGGGAAGCAAAAGACAAGTTTACTGTTAAAACATATTATCATTTTCTTATTGATGGAGGCTCAAGGTATGACTGCTTAAATCTTTGGAAGCTTTCTGTTCCTCTAAAAGTGAAATTTCTGGTCTGGTTGGCTTTGAGAAGTAGTTTAAATACGAAAAAGAATTTAGTAAAGAAAGGTATTCACATGGATGTGCTGTGTTGTTTTTGTTCCAAGGAGGAGGAAAATCACCTTCATCTTTTTGTTAATTGTGAGTTTGTATACTCTATTTGGAGATCTGTCCAGTTTAAATTGAATATCAAGAAAGATTTCAAGTTATCTTCCTTAAAAGATATTTGGAAGAACTGGAGTGATGAGAAGTATGATAGTGGGAACATAGAGAGAGATGTGATTCTTTGTTCTCTGATATGGTGTATTTGGCAGGAAAGAAATGATAGAATTTTTTCAAATAAGAAAAGGAGATCATTAGAACTTTTGAACAAAATTTTGACTTTTGCAAAATTTTGGATAGGTTCTCAGGTATATGATCGTGCAGCTAGGCTACAAGAGAGGAGGAGGAAAAAAGCTGCTTCTGTTGCTGGAATTTCAATTTCCACAGCTGGGGGGGTGATTGATCTGCTGGAATGAAGACTAAGCCCAAGAAAGAAGTCTGCTTTTGTGGTCTACATATGAAAAAATGTATATGTGTTGATCTTTTGATACAGTTTTTGATATTTTGTTATCAATTGCTAGGGGGTGAAGAATTTAGGTGAATCTGACTGTAAAACTTTGACAATCCAGGGTATTCATTCTTGGTTGGGGATGAATACTTTTTTTTTGTAACAACCAATTTTGTTTAATTTAGCTGGCTGGATTACTATGTTGGTAATCCATCCTTTTTCTCAAAAAAAAAAAATTCACTGTGGCTTCGTGGAGGGCCCTTTATATTTTTCCTTTTCCAATATCTCAAATCAACTGAAACAGACACATAAATCCAATAAAATACTGCAAAAGTACCAATCTTTCCGTCTACACATTACATTCGTACGTTTGTTTTTATTAATTGTACTGATTTTTTGTACCCATTGCACAAAATAAATTAATAACTCCACATACATGTGTTCTCATTCTCTTCCATGTGATCCTCCTATAAAACAAATCAAAAGAGACACCCACACAAACCCAACAAAATACTACAAACATACATACAAACCTCTCCCTCTCTCTCTATATATCTATCCTCTAACCAAAACCAAGTTCTCATCACTTAGAAAACAAACAAATTAAAGGAGGGGAAAAAAAAAATCCAACTCTAACATGTCAGCCCTTGATCACTCCTTCCCTCCATCAGAACCCCTTAAGAAAAAGCGCCGCCCTGCCGGCACACCGGACCCGGACGCCGAGGTCGTGTCCCTCTCCCCGAAAACCCTCCTCGAATCGGGCCGCTACGTCTGCGACATCTGCAACCAAGGATTCCAGCGCGACCAGAACCTGCAGATGCATCGCAGGAGACACAAGGTGCCGTGGAAATTGCTTAAACGTGAGCCAGTTGGCGAGGTCAAGAAGAGGGTGTTCGTTTGCCCGGAGCCGAGCTGTCTGCATCATGATCCGAGTCATGCTCTGGGGGATTTGGTCGGGATCAAGAAGCATTACAGGAGGAAGCATAGCGATCGGAGGCAGTGGGTCTGCGATAAATGTGGGAAAGGGTACGCGGTTCAGTCGGATTTCAAGGCTCACGTTAAGACTTGTGGGACTCGCGGGCATACTTGTGATTGTGGCAAGGTTTTCTCAAGGTTTGGATTTGGATTCATCACTTGTTACTTCTTTATTATTATTATTATTATTTAGTTTCGTTTTGTTTTCTGATATTTACATTTAGTATAAGATTGATCATGTGTGAATAATTTGAGGAAGTTTATAGAGATTTTCAAATGGCCTCAAAGTCAGTTGTATATATGTTAATTCCATACCAGATCCATTGTAAAGCCAAAATGGTTTATCAAGCTGAAGTAGTTTAAAGCCAGCCCACCTTAGTGCAGACTATATACAGAAGTTCAATGATATGTTAATCTGAGTTACTCTAAATCTCTAACAGATTTTTTTTTTAAATTTAAACGGACGTACAATCAATTTCCTATTGCAATGTCTCAGTAGTTACTTCATCTTGCTTCAACTTTCAGTCCCATTAGTGCTCACTTCTCAAAACCCTAAACTTTCAAAAAAAAATCACGGAATTTAGATCGGTGCGTCCATTAATCAACATAAAGTGCTTTTGTGATGAAACCCCAAAGCTCAGTGACCTGATTAATTAACCTTGCTTCTTCCTTCTTTGTTAATTGATCAATATCACAGGGTGGAGAGCTTCATCGAACACCAAGACACCTGCAACACAAATCAACGCCAACTCCAGCCCCAACCCCAAATCCCTCATCAATCCCTCTCCCTCTCTCAAACAACAACAAGCCCAAGCCCAAGCCCATCAACAGACACAGCCTGGTCCTCATTACTTCGCCCCAACTTCGAGCTCCAACTCCTCCCACCTTCACCTCCTCAGCCGACAACCACAACAAACTCCAACAGCACATCATCCGACGACGAGACCCAAATAGCCCACTTGAACCTCTCTCTCGGCCCAACCAGCCCAGCAGTCGAAAAGGCGGAGGCCGATGAAGCCCGTTTGCATGCCAGGAGGCAAGTGGAGCTCGCGGAGATGGAGTTAATGAATGCCAAAAGAATACGACAACAAGCACAGGCTGAGCTCGACAAGGCATTTGTTTTGAGAGATCATGCGGCTAAGTCTATTAATTCTTTGTTGTTGCAAATTACTTGTCAGAATTGCAAGTTGAAGTTGTGGCCCAAGGAAATGATACCTGTTGATGAGAACTCAGTAGCTGGTTCACTGGTGATCGAAGGCAATATGCCTAATTAATAATTAAATTTGATTTCTACTTCCTTTTCTTTTTTGTTTAATGCTTTTAACTTGGGTTCTTGATTGATATTGGTTTATTTTTGGTGATGAGGGTTGTTCAATTTGTAACATGCATGAAATCATGATCTTTTTTCAGGTTTTTTTTTAAAGAAGAATATATTGGAGAGATAACTTCATTTTATTGATATTTTGTGACGTGAAATCTTATGGTTAATTGTTTGGTTGCAGTTTTTTTGTTTTTGTAGTCTGTGGGGAGGGATTAAAGGATGGTGTTATTAATTTGTAAAGAAGACAAAAGATGAATTGGTCTTTTGAGTTAATTTAATTGTGATTTCTGTCTCTATGTTTGCTTGGAGTTTTTGAAGGTGAGCATTGACTTATTTACTCTTACGTTAACTGCAACAGATATATATGTGATTAGGTGACCTCTCATGAGTATGGCTTTGAAGATTGACCAAGTTTTCACTTATTATCAGACATCTATACGGATCAATAGAATAAGTTCATGTGTTTTGCCTTTCCAGTTGTATAGTGATAGGGACAAATATTATATCATGAAGGCGGATGGATAGAAGAATATCTTTTCTTTCTTTGTATTTGTCTACAAAAGGTTCATAATTAAAATAGACCCCATATATAAACATGGCATACACATTTCTTCATAACCACCCGCATGCGAGCAGTTGGTTTCGCATCATGAATCAGTGGGGGTGAAATGTACTATTAATTCCCTATCTCACTCATCAATGCAGAAGCAAAGCCCTGCAGGCTCGCATGCGGATGGTTCCCACACATGTGCTCATAAACATGATACTATATAAAGAAATTTTTTAGTTCCGTTTTATATCAAATACATTCGTATTCGCGTTTTTTCTAATCAAAATTTAATTCTCTTGTGCAAGTAGCAGCAACATGACAAAACAATAATATGGCAATGTGATCAACAGCAGTGAGGAAGCAGCACCGAAACCAATACCCCATGCATGATTGTACATGAGAAAGATATATAAATAACGAAGATAAGGACCTAGCATAAATAACAATTGATCAATGAAAATTTTAGGTAAAAAAAATAACACATATTTATATAGCGTGATATGTTAAGTGCCAATTCAACAACTGAGGGACTTATTTTGTATTGTCATATTAACTTGGGAGACCTATTTTAAATTAAGTGTCATTTGGTCAGTGGAAGCTAGAATGGCATAAAAGCTTTTTATTCACTTCACATGTCTACAGCAATTAGTTTTTTATTTTATTAATTTGTAGGATTTTTTTTTCTCTATTCTATTTTACGATAGAAATTCAAATTCTCAATTAATTATTTGTTATATGCATTTAACTCAATTCCTTGTTTAGTCAATATCTACTTTAATTTATAGGCTTATTTGGTTTTATCATGTTCAATTTTATTTCTTATAGAGATCTACTTAATTCTTATTCACAATTTCACATATTATAATTGTAATCTTTTTAACTATACATTCTCTTGTATTTATTTTATAGACATTATTATTATTATCAACAATTAGATCCACAATAATATAAGATCTTATCATCTTATAGAAAATTTTCTTCCTCTGTCACCATAATGTAAAAGAAACCCATTCATTCTAAGCATTTACCATAAAATTCATGTCTTCCTCTATCACCATTATAGTGGATTGTTGATTGCATGTAGCAAAATCAAGTTATCGTTCTAAGGTTGATCTTGATCATCAACATCCAATATCTTTCTTGTGGACGCATAAATATTGAGCTGTATTAATTACAAGACATTTTAAATGTACAAACAGGGAGCAAAGAAACTAACAGTACCAAAACATCATCGTCCTAGTACAGGTACATAGTAGTAACACTTTCGTGGGTGGGTGGGGGGGGGGAGGAAAGTCGCCGAGGGTGCACGGAGAACATGAGAGTACCTCTTGAATTACTGGTCATGATATACTCCTTTGTCTTTGTTTTTACTCTATACTCATGAAAAACATTTATGCACGTACAAAAGGGGCCCATGTGGTCATGGTACTTCATCTACGTCACTGTATCACTGCATCATACAATGTCATGGTTTTCAGTGCTGTGCTGCAATAGACAGGGACTGCTCTCAACCATTAGGATTAACTCTGAGACCGTGCCACTAAGAGAGCTTCATCTTTTTTCCATATATATATAAGAAGGGAATAGCTAGAGCTAGCTAGTTCAAAGAGGAGACCAACAAGATCGACTACGTATATCTACAAGAACATGCATTATCCTTCTTAACTCTCGGTTTAAGATGGTGCCGGAGGTTTAAAATTAGGCCGGGGTTAATATTGAACTAGCTAGCTAGTTTTGAATCTTTAATTCCGTGTTAATTAGCATAAACTGTGCTGGAATTGACTCGTTATTAATTTAAGCTTTGGCCATGTTTTGTTTTGGTGCACCTTCTCCTCCTCTCATGGAATTAAGCCAGTCCGTTTAGCATAGTTAACATTGGGCATTGACTAATCTCGGGTTTTGTGAGTTTCGCAAACACAATATTAGAATTTAATATATATTACAGAGACTTCAATAAAATATGGTCTCAAAATAATCCAAATTCAATCCTTATGATCCTCATCCAATTTCACGTTAAGCGGATTAAAAAAACTGACATTGCTTAATGAAAAAAAAAGGTTTCTATTCATTAAAATAAAAAAACGCTCTATCCTGATGTCACATAAAATACAAAAATGCCTTCAAGAACGTAAAAATACTTACTTTCTTAATCACATTCATTTGTTAGTTAACGAAGGATTGCAATTTAAATTAGGCGAAAAAAAAATGTGAACAAGTCCACACCACAAACAAATTCCAACAATGATAACAAAATTTACACTTCAATGCCCAGTCAAGATGAAAGGGGTCAAATCCAAACTCCCAAATGTGTGTGTGTGTGAATACAAACACGAGAGAAATCCATGGAGGATGGAGGACGGGCTTTGGGATCTCAAGATGATGGATGATGGGTAATGGGAGAAGTGCATAGAAGTTAGCACTCTCTTAAAAAAACAATTGGATTATATCTTTTTGGCTTTTTCTGGATCTTTTTTGCTTTTCTCGGCCATTGGCCACACTTTTTAAAAGGGTCTGCTGCCTGCCTGCATCCTGTTCCTTTTCGCTTTAATTTCCACAACAGCGAATGCTGTCTGTGTGACTCTGAGCTGTAGCAGCGTATTGCTTTGGATTCAGAAAGAATAAGTGACGTATTTAAAAGATAAGGCTAATTAGCACTTAAATATCTCATAATTTCTCGTAAATTGCATTATATACTCTAATTTGTTTTTGGCATCGCACTACAATAAAAGTTGCATATGTATTTGGATAAGAATCTACAACGTACTAGAACGCTTTTGTTGACGATCCTTTACTCCGACAGCATAGGGTTCTTAGAACAATGTGATATCTCACATCGGGTAAATCTTTAACTCTTCCTCTTCTTACTAATACTACAGACTGTTCTTGTGAATTGTGGCCAATACCAAATATATAAGCAGTGATTTCAAATCTAGAGGTTAATCGTACTATGGCAACTTTACGTAAGGCAGAGTTTGGTTTTTTGGGGGTTATAGACTTATAGTGGATAACACTTATTTTATGACACAATTAAAGTGACATTTTATTTACAAAGGATTAAACTATAGTGACACAAATAAAAAGTGTGGCAAATCACGATACATATTTGTGTCATTAGATATACAATTAAATATAAGTAAAAAGAGCTAATAGGTTAACATAGATTGTGAGAGGATATATTGATGGTCTTAAATAATGAATATTAGACATTAATTATGATGATGACTAAATACTTATAATAGTATATAAGCTAAAAAACTCTATTGTCAAGCATGCTTTGATGAGAGTAATCCTAGGATGGGTGACCTTTGGGGAAGTAATAGTTTTAAATGGTTATACTCTTTATATTTTTATGGTTTAAACACAATTATGTATCACCACTCTTGACACATATATGTGTCAAGAGTTTTGTGACACATGTATGCATCACCACTTTCGACATATATATGTGTCGTGAGTTTTGCGACACATTCACACATGTGTAAATAAACACTCTCCATACATGTTCTAAACACACTTTTGGTATGTGTCGTACTCCATATTTGTGACACAAAAATATGCCATATAGGGACAAAAATTATCATATTTTATAATTTTTTTTGTAGTGTAGGTTATATACCCCTGCATTTCTAAAAGTTGCATTTCAACAATACAAACTTGAGAATTTGCCACCATTTCTCATGTGCACTCACAAGCCAATTTTAAAATTAGCTCTTAATAGTTGAATTTACTGTTAAATTTATCACATATGAACATTAGCTTGTGAGTGTACATACGGGCTAAACTTAGCTTATGAGTATCACATGGCCAATTAGTATCTAATATTTAAAAATATTTAAATTAGTTTGTGAGCATAGATCACATGAGAAATTTACTGCTACAAAAAACAAGTGAAGATATTTAAGTGCAAGGTAGAGTAAAATACAAGGTCTTTAAATGCTAATTAGCTAAAAAAGAAATAAAAAGGTAAGAAATAAAAAACTGTCAGAAAAAAGAAAGGGAAAAACAGAGGAAAATGACTAAAAATGAGCACAAACAAATTTTTTTTTTTTTAACTTGCACAATTTTATTTATGTAAGGTTGAGGACCTCATATGAAACAGATTTTTGTAAATTTGTTTTTTTTTGAAATTTTTTTTATAAGTTGCCGACCAACCCCTAGAATTTATAAATTGCTTAATACATTCAGACATGTAGACTATGCCAACCATTGATAGGCCATTTCATGGGATTAAAGGCCTAGTATTGTGTTCGACGAAATACTTTAGCTGGTTTTGACATTACGGCTTTGGATCCATACACCACTTTCTTCGGGGGAAAACTGGAGGCCTAAGAACTCTTTTCTTCGAGGGAAGGCCTTAGCCCATTTATTAAGATGAAGAAACTTATAAAGAATAAAAAAACTACGATTTATGAGTGTAATAAATTTGACTAGCAAAAAAAAAAATATATATATATATATATATATATAACAAACCTAAATTCGCAGATTATTTCATGTCTTGGTCTTGTGAGAGCTCAATAAATCAAGACCTACTGAGTTATGAGTGATATCTAATATCACAAAACTATTTCGATTATATATCTA